TGCCGTGTTTGTACCAATGCTGTGCTACGTAATATGTTCAACAGTCAACATCAGGTCATATGTTCTCCGTAATGAAATTTGCAGTGCAAAGAAAAAACTGTAATTACATTTGTTGAGAAATGTGATACTACAGCATAATTCATTTAAAGCGGCATCCGTTGTTGCACAACCCCCACCCTGAATCAATCTTTCATCACATCTCATAGTGACAGTATTGAACTGTATAATAAGTATTAATAAGCATAGCAGATTGGCTTCAAACTTTCATAACTCACGACTAGTAAAGTCTTCAGCATGTCATCGGGTTCAAGCGTTCTTCTGGCCGGTTACTGCCCGAGTGCACTTTGTGTTCTGAGGAGGAAGTAATTACATCACTCTCCAATTAAATAATGCCAGGCGCGCTTCCTGTTCTGCTATCACTACAGCGGGAGATGAAAGCTCCAGCCAGCTGTCCAGAGCTTTCATCTCCCAGAAACAGACTTTTCCTTCCTAAAAAACCGCTGCTGAAGCACTGAACCGAAACACGGAGAGGACCTCCCCAAAAGAGGCGGCAAGAAATGCGACGTTGTCTTTTGAATAAATTAATTTAAAATGCGGCTAAACCTTATTCATTTTTTTGTCTCAGCTTGCTGACATAGCAGACGGCACAGAACAGGTCTTCCCGGTGCTGTCCGGGTTTCATGCCCTCAAAGACATCGTCAACTCGGTGAGGTCAAGTCAAATATTACAATGCACAAAAACATTCATTCGGGCACGCAACATCAGGCTTCCATACTGATTACGTTACTGTCACCTGTATCTCCACACAGATCCTGAAGCAGACGTGCGCAGACGTCTTCACAGTAGAGCCGTCGAGTGTCTGTGTGAATGGTAAGTTAGGGGTGAAGAGTTTTTTTAATATAATGATGCAGGAAAAAAATTGTACGGACACTCATGGTCCCCAGAGGATGATGCCAAATGACTTCGGTGCTCGCCTAACTTCCTTTTAGCGTTAGGGATTTGTTGATTTCTCACAGCGGTCATGTCCCAATGGGAGCAACCCATTGCCTTCAAACCATCAACCAACACACACATGTACACCTCCCAAAGGACATTGTTGCAGGACACCTTAACCATAACTGTGGTCTTGTCTACACTAAAATAGTTTGTTACAGAGGTGGCTCGGTCTGGGGGTGTACTTTCAGCAGCACAGAATGAATGGTCATAGGAAAATGATAGGATTACTACAGGCAGCAGTGTGACTCTATGTACTCTATCTCAGTCTTCCACAACTACACGTTGCTACTTGTCACTTTGATCATGAAGGTGACCCTATTCTACAGTATATAGGTTCAAATACAGTATAGAATTGAGTATTTCTAACATATAGTTTCGAGAATGTTATGGATCCAAGACGAAACTGATAGAAGGGCGGGACTGAGAGAAAAGAAAAGGGCAATTATAAAACCATCTGCTAATTCAGCACCACAGACAGTGCCATGGATTTATCAACAACAAACAAATAACAACCCTCAGTCGGATAAAGGATCAATAAGTCAGGCAGACAAGACTTACATATTGTACTCAACAACCCTTCTGCCTCTGAACTCTCTCTGCTACAGGGGGATGGAGAGGGGGCGGTGGCAGGTTAACAAGGGGGATGCATTTTGGTCTTTTTGCTCATCCCTCCTCAAATCGCTCACTGTTGACTTTAATTTGCTCGATCACCATATTTGCTGTTTAGTAAATGCTGTTTCTGTTTGCTGCATTTTAAGTACTGTCCCAGCAGCATAACGTGTCCGATGTTTCTCAGAGTCTTTCAGTGTGGTGCTGAGGGGCAGTGGCTTCAGCGGATCCAGGAGGACAGACAACATGCTCTGCGTCCTCACAGTCAATCAAAAGTCATACGGTCAGTAAATGCCACGCGCTCAACACCCTCATGACTTGTGCTTCAGAGGTCAGCTGAGATACAGTTTGCTTTTGGATGCTAATGCTAAGGATGCACTCATTGTTACCCAAGTTTATTCACCAATGCCCCTATGCTGCAATGCACTTTGGGGTAACATCGTCTATGAAGGGAAATGCGATACGACGTGCAGATGTCTGTGCTGCAGTGGAAAGTCGGAGTCATGACATCCAGAAACAAAAGAGTGGCTGCTTTTTATTGACTTCAGCCAGAGAACAGAGGAGACATTGTGAGACGCAGAGGGAGGGAGAACATGTTCTGTGTCTCATTAGTCTATTAACAGATTGATGTCCTCTAATGTCACCGAGAGGACATGAAGGGATAACACATGTCCTTCTTGACTTCCAACCAGCTTGTTTTTATCTGTTCTGCTGGAATGTCTTTCTTTTTTTGCAATTGCTCTGTTGCTCTGAAGTTTTATTCTGGCTGGCAATCTGAATATACGTATATACAATTTAAAATAGTTACTGAAGGCAGCATGGCATTGCAAATTGTCAAACAAGTTGAAAGTATTGCTATGCTTAATGCGCATAAAAGAAATATAACATCATGGCAGCAAGGTACAAAGCATCTTCTCTTTGCAAATTTGCAGTGGGTAACATTAGATAATGTTCCAACATCACCAACATGTACACTCATCCATGATCAGTTAAAACGCCATAAGCACAAGCATGAATTTGTTTTGCAAGCCAAAGTGATGTGTTTTTGCTTCCATTTACAACTAAACGTTGTGTAATTTTGATATGTTTGGTCATGTTTTTATTAGACAATCCTTTCCTTTTCGGCAGTTATTCTCACAGTTTGTCTGTCTCTCTCTCAGACCAGAAACCAAAAGTAGTTAGAGACGGCTATCTGCTGTGTCCAGCTCCTGTTCTGCATGAGGTCGGACAGTAAGTTAAGTTAACACACACGCACATATGCAAAGTGTTCATAACTGTGTCAAACTGTAAATAAGATGCAAGTAAAGAAAACTGAGCTTTATGTCAGCACAAGGTTTTATTTTAAAGGAAAAACAACTCAAACTGTATTAGTATTCAAATTACAATGACAGTAGTATACAGTCACAATATAAAATCCTGGTCATACCCACAAAATAAACAGTAGTTGTAGAATTTCTTAATCTACACCTGAGAAACCACACTCGTGCTTGAACACTGACAATAGTGAGTGAAGTGTTCATTCTGCATGGTCAGTTTTCTGTCCTTTCTGTGCTGATTTGTCTCTGCCTGCTTTCTTTGTTGCACAGCAAAACCCTTGTGATTAAAATCAGCTATCCCCAAAGGCTGTGAGTTCGCTGAAATGACTTGTAGATATCAGTCATGAGCATCTCCATGCCCCACAAACTCTTGTAGTAGTTTGGCATGGCATTTCATAACCTCACTGCCATGGCATTTCTCTGACTTATAAAGGAAGTGTTTCATCAGCCCAGCGCTTATGTGGGGCAACTTTTCACAGGGCTGATGGATAGTAAATGTCTCTTTTGCAATAGTGTCACGTGTTGCACGTCTTTTCTTCCAGTAAATTCAAAGAACTATAACATTTGCAGATCATCATGCCCAAATGTATCCCTTTCAATCCATTAACATTTCTTCCTGCAGCAGGTTGAAATTAGAAACTAGAAGTCTGTTGTGTGTCTGTAATGGAGAGCGAGAACAATGTTTGCAGTGTAACTATCGGCAGCTCAAAGTGTTGTGGGAACTGAAGCCAGTCCGACCAAAATATCTCTGTGGCATTTAGAGAGCGAGCCAAAAGCTGATTTAACTTCACCCACTTCAAGCAGCGCCCTCTCTCCCCGCCATCTGTCCCCGGTCGCCTCTCACTTTCCATCAAGTCTCACCCACTCTGTAACGCTCCCTCCTTACTGAAACACTCGTGCACACACTACTGACTTTCTCAGGGACGAAGCCGAAACAATCTCTGTTGGGTCCAACCCTCAAACGTTGGAACCAAAACAATACCGAACTGAAATGGCAAACAAGGAAATCTGGTGAAAAAACGATAAGAATATGAATCGCAAGTACTTCCTTTTTCAGTGAGTCAGCGTTGGCGCTAATGTGAGGTCAACAGGGAAACTCACGAGGTTACTAAGAGACATAGCTCTACGGCAGTGCTTCTCAAACTTTGTAGTTGTTACTTAACCCCTTAATTATCAAATAAATCAATAAAAATGATATTCATCCACCATAAACGCACACGCATGCACCCTCTCATCATGGCCCTCACTGTATTTTTCCATCACTCTGATGGCTGAGAGAACATCACATGTAGCTGCTAATAGTTTGAGCAAGAAGTGTTTTTGCTTCTGGTGTTGCTTTCAGTGATTCTGTCTAATAATTGCAGATCAATCGAAGTGCTGGTCAGCCTGAACAATGGACAATCCTACATCTCCAGTCCCATCACCATCTATGCTACAACGTGTGTGAGTATAAATCATACAGCCGTACATATAGTATTCATCATATAGTACCAAAAAAAAAGAAAAACACCTTTCGTGATAGGTTGCCAGCAATATTAACAGTATCACTACAGTATAGATTCGCTGAAGTAGGCCTTGTAGAGTTGCGTGTGTCTGATTAGTGTGTGTTTATTGCAGTCAGATGGGATCTGGGTGCTCTGGTTGCTGTTGGCTCTGTTGCTGTTACTGGCTCTGGCTTTATTCTGGTGGTTCTGGCCTCTCTGCTGCACTGTGGTGAGTCTTCAGCCTCGATGTATGCGTGTAGACCTCCAGTTCAGGCCTTGTGGAAGCACAGGCCATAATTCAGTGCTATTGTTAGCCCACATGTTGCAATTTGGCCAGTGTTCCAGGAGTAACACCTAGTTATTTCTGTCCATTGACAATGTTAAGTTTATTACTTTTTCACATTATTTCTTACAGGTGATCAGAGACCCACCCCCGGCTCGCCCACCACCGCCACCTCCTGTCATTGTGAGTAGACCGCAGACTGTTGAAAAACACGCTTCTCTTACATCACTAGCAAGTTGCTGAATTGAGATTCTGAGACTGAAGTTTGGGTTCTACCACATGCTACCACCTTGGCATTGACATCGAGACATGGAAAGCAGAGTAGGGGTTTCTGGCAAAACTTCACTTATTTCCAAGATGAAAAAAGTCTGAAGAGGTCAAAACTCTTGTAGCGTAAAGAGTTAGTCCTCATAGCAGATATGATTTGTAGCACTTGGAGGAGACAAAGTTTCACCACTGCAATTGAAGTCCATGCAGGCTGGGCGCTACCATGACTCAAAAGAAGTAGTGATATTTAGACTATAATGTAGAGAAAAGTTGATTATTTCAAGGTAGAAGAAGCTGAATAAATCTCTAAGGTGTTTGAGACTTTGGTGAGGCAGCATCTACTGACTGTTGATAGTGCTGCATTGGTTTCAGCTCTCGACCAGAGGGGTTTCTGTTCTGTTGTTAGTCACGACATTAAATTATCATATTAATTAGAGGGCTTAATGACTTGCCCTTTAAATGAATCATTACAATGTTGTGTAGTATTCTAAAGTCTTAAGCCCAAAATTTGAACTGAAACTCACTGTATAGTTCTTTCAATTTATTTGTTGTTGTTTTTAAGGAGCCAGAAGACGATCTTTCACCCAAACACAGGTGGCCTACAGTGGATGCTTCGTACTATGGAGGCAGAGGTCCTGGAGGAATCAAACGCATGGAGGTAATAGAATAAAGAAACCATAATTACAATTAATTACTGTCACACATACATTTACGCTCAACTTACGGGTTATAAGACGGGTCTGTGATGTCTGTCTTTTGTACCCGTGGTCTGTAGGTGCGTTGGGGGCAGATGGGGTCCACAGAGGAAGGGTCACGGCTAGAGAAAGCCAAAAATGCTGTGGTCACTATGCCGGAGGGAGTGGAGGAGCCCATCATGCCTCGACCCCCACCACGATCTCCTCCAGCCTACAACCCCCCATCACAGTCCAAATGGTACACTCCCATCAAGGTGAGACAATAACCTCATTAATCACCAGACATTTTTGCACTGTGCAACTTTGCATATTGGTAGATAACTACCACTTTAAGTCTTAAATATGTATGTGATTCTGACCCTATAACTGCTGTTCACACACACACGTACAAATAAATGTTACGATGGCCGTGTTGTATACCGTTCTTTATCTGCATTTTTATCTCGTGTTTTTGGATTGAATTCACCTGATTTGACTTGACTTTCAGGGGCGTTTTGATGCACTGCGGGCATTACTTAGAAGACAGTATGACAGAGTGGCGATCATGAGACCAAAACCTCAGGACAAGGTAAGAAACCTCTGCAGTGTTTACCTCCGATACAGTTCAACTCGTAGGATGAAAGAAAACACGGATGCTTATCAATTCAGAACACTTTGATCATCATTCCTTCCTGCAGGACTGTCCGCAGTCACCAAGGAATAATCAAGTTTGTGTTTGCCATAAAGTGTCACCAGTTAATTTGATTAGAAGATGGACCCACCCTCTTGACGCCAAAGTGATTTGATTAGATAATAACAGATAATACAGCCCGATCCCCCCCCCCCTCTAATTATCTACCCAACAGACAAATAACAGCTCACTGCATCAACTCAGTCGTAATAAATGACGGTGTAAATATCAACACTATAAACACAGCTTGAACATGCAACAGGCGAGCCAATGTTTTAGTGTACTAATGAGATTTTGATGATTTTTTTTCATATTTTGTCCCTCTGTGTGATGTGGTCTACTGACTGAACTGATGAAAGTGCTCTAATCCAACACCAGCATTAACTCAAAATGTGATATTTCCCATTTTAAGCAAGAGTCAGATCAGTTAACACATGACACAGATCACCTCTGGTTTGCTTGTGATGTTTTATATCATATTCAGAATCTGCCACTTTATGTAATAAAATCATCTGACTGTAATGTCTGGCTTGTGTTTGTCTCCAGGGCCGCTGTATTAACTTCACCAGAGTTCAGAGTCGCTGATGTTTAACCGCGAGGATCAAGACTTTTCACTTTACTCCAGTTTTTGGCCAAAGATTAGTGACGTGTACACTCAAGAGATGATTGTTCTGATTCAACGTGTATTGTAAATAAATGTCTTTACTTATATTCTGGTGTTGTTGTTGCATTTCAGAGATCTATTACCTGTGAAGAACCCTCCAAAAAAACGTTTTAGTTATTCTGTTTATTTTGAAAGAAAAAATATAATTCTCTTTTCACAAAACCCTTCAGTACAAGTACCCTGACCGGTAGAACAAATGATACACACACAAACAAAAAGAATACATGAGAAAACACTTGTAAAATTAGCTTTTTTTAAAAATACAAAAAAACAGAACAATAGCATCACATTCACTCATAGACAGACATTTTAACAATCGCATCAAGCTCACATCATCACAGATGAGATGAAGAGGAGGATGTTTGTATCCAAGCTGCACATATCAGACACGCATCAGTCTCTGTTTCATTCAGACACAAAACACTTCCTTGTCATACATGAACTGGTGTTGTATTAACAAAACTAGCTTACCAACACAAGAGCCAGCCAACCAGCAACAAGCTCACGGTGACACTTCAGAAAAAAGTACGTAAAGAAAAAAAAAACACATTTTTTTAACCTTCTGATACAAAATACAATTTAATACTGTATAGAAAGACGCCATAAAATAGGAGTCACCATATCCTATAGTACAATACACAAGAACCCACTGAAGTGCATTTGATTTAACTTGCATGATTAGCATAATGTTGCACCACCAATACGCAGTCAAAGTGCACACACATCACAGAATGGTTAGAACCCAATAGCTTGCAGCGGTTTTGGGAATGTTCAGCTGATGGATCGACTTGCATTTAAGGTTTTTTTTAAATTAGATCAAAGGCTCGAATGACCCGGAAACAGCCGGATATTGATGCTGTGTGCAAACTGAGAGAGAAAATGGAAAGGATGTGGTGCGGTTGCTGCTCACGGTGTTGCCATTACAATCAAGCACTCAACAAGACAACACTGCAGGAAAACACCACTTCTGAAAGCAGCAGTCAGCCTGTTACTTATAATACAAATCGATGATCGTCCTTTCAGAGTGCATCTCTCCTCTCTCCGCGGGTCCCGGGCTAAATGTAGCCAGGATGTCCGTAGAGAAGCAGTGCTGATGTTACAATGTAACCAATCGGGGTCCACATCCGTCTCATTCAGAGTCGGAACCGGCCCTTTGCGCTTCCACAGCACGGGTCCCTCAACAATATGTTGTCGCCATGATAGAAGTCCACTGGTAATATGAACAAAATCCACACGTTTGACTACTTCTGCAGTCATATGAAATCCTCTTAAGTGCCTTGGACAGAGCTGATGTTGAAGAAGAAGCTCAGCTGATGATCCAAATCAGTACTCCGAGCTCTTCTTGGGACTCACGAGGTTTCGGTACTTCTTGTGAGCTGAAAGCCCATGTGCTGCAGCGTAGTATTCCGTTGATCTGTGAGAGTACGGGCCCGGCTGCGTTTGTTCTCCAAGGGAATGTAAAAATGTGTCCATGAGATAATTATGCAGGAACCTGTAGCTTTAAAATACCTCGTTCATTTACAGTCTGCAGAGCAGAGGAGATTGTCGCTCTCTTAGGACCGATTCTCTCGATGCAGAAGGGAAGATCTGTGAAACAGAACCCAGATCATCAGTTATTATCATAGCTGATTAAATATGTTGTCGTTGAGGTAGTTTAATGTTTTTTTCAGTGTGTGCACTTGTGTGTGCGTGTACACCCACCTAAGAGACCTACGACTGTCTTTCTCCATGTGGTTCTCAGGTCCTTCGCTCTCATACGAGGCCAGGTGCAGCTCTGCAGCAGTAAAACAAGACGAAGCCTGAGTTTGATTTGTTCTCCAACTTGGTGACTAGACGCGGCGGTCATGCAATTTATATACACGATTAGATAAATACGGAGAAGATCGCGTACTGACCGTCTTCGCTGAAGACAGGCGTGGTGACGAGGTACTGGAGGATCCGGCGGTCTCTGTCGAACGGACAAATCACCTGACGCCAAACCAGGAATTCGCTCACCTGCTTTGCAAGCTCCCAAAGTTTCTGTTGAGACATAAAGACAACAGACTTTATTAACACTGATACCGATTTAACAGATGCTTATCCAAGAAATACACAAAAAAACACATTTTGTAGCATTATCACACCATACTGTGAGAAGAGGATTTCAAAAAAACAGTCAGAGTTTCTTAATGTCATCTCAAAAGAAATAGAGGGAACTGTAGTGCTCGTTTTAAAGCACAAGGGGGCGCCATTACACACCTCTTGAAAAGCCTCTTCTCAAAGCCATAACTATGACTGTGGAGCAGTTACATAATTTCACAGTGAATGGTCGAATCTTACGCTCTTGGAATTAGCTTTTAACAATGTTTGTTACTGTGGACTGACCTCAAAGTTGATGTGCCCGTTGGTCAGCCTGCTGGCACAGCCTTCATTCAGGAAGTAGATGTCTTTAATGAGGAGACTGAAGAAAGGGATCACAATCTGGAGGACAGAGACAACAGCCGGTTTGAACTTGACATTTTACACTCGGGATAGCAGGATGTCTTTGTCTGTCCAGAAGACTCCCGTGTGCCCTCTTACCTTCTCCTGGCTGCTGTGTGCCGTCTCAGACCTCTGGGTGGCGCCGCGGAGCGCCGTGCGGTAGTTGCTGAAGTTACTGGACGGGTCCATCTGGTGCTGAGTGAGGTCAGACAAGAGCCAACGTTGATCAAACACATACATGCGTGCACAAAGTTTTCCGCCCACTAAGAGCTGGGAGTCAACTTAAAATAAATCAAAATCTATTGAAAAGTACAAAATAATACATGTACCAGGGAATCACTGGTGTGTGCAGATGATGTATGCAGGTTTTCTTACCTCCAGGATTTCAAACTTGTCGGTATTGACTTTACTCCAGGTTTTCCTCAGTCTGGCAACAGGACTCATGTTCATCCCGGCTGAAAGACAGAGAAACTATGTAAGTATATGAAGCAAACTCAAGTTTACTTCCTTGAAACTCCAGCTGGCACTGTGACCTGAATTAGATTTGTCTAATGTGTCTATTCAACAAAGAAATGGTGGGAACCACAATGTACATCATTGCCCAGAAATCACCTGTCTTTTTAAAACAGTGTGGAGAGGCAGAGCTATGTTGGATGCTTTCATTTTTTCGGTCAAAATACTCACTGATGATGGCCATGAGGGAGTTGAAATTGCCGATGTTGAAGCACTCCTGAGCCACATCAATGAAGAACTCTATGATACGTGCTCGGTGTTTCTTCTTCACTGGCTGTAATGACAGAACACGTGAGTTTTTAGAATGGAGGCCATTGAACAACAAAAGCTTTGGCGTGGGTGAAACAGGGAGGGCCCCCACGTTATTTCTGAACTGTTCCTTTTAAGAGCAACGCACCATACAGATCTCCGTGGCCACCAGGAAACTCAGTCTGTTGAACCAGTTGACGTAGGCCTCCAGGTTGCTGGTTTTACGCTTCCGGAAGAAACCCTAAAAAACAAAAGGTTAGGAGATGACATGGTAAAAATGCAAGCATAAAAATGATACATTTGTTTGTGTGTTTTCTAGTTTTATACCACGTTTCTGTTAGTATTTCATTATTTGTGAGAACTGTGGTCTTGTTTGTTAGAAGTAAGAACATAAAGTAAACCACTTAGGAAAATAAAGGGATTCTGTGTAGAAAAACAGCAATGTAAGGCAGATATTTGTCATAAATGTGTCATAAATGGGAAAAAAAGGCCTTTACTAGCATTAATACACAACAAATGTAAATACTGAGCTGACTCCAGCCGCCGAGGAAGATATAAATGAAAGCCTCATAAAAAGCTAGCAAGTAGATCTCGAGCTAAGATTTCGTTTTTTATATTCTTTTTGCCATTCTTTTCTGCATCATCATTTTTTCAAGACTATCCAATAAATAATTTCACAAAAAAAAAAAAAAGAAATACAATGAGGCAGCGCTGCTACTCTGCAATTTCCTTTGTAAATGGATCCTGACAGCCCTCACACCCACACAACCTGTGGCCCTGCACAGTGAAGCCTGTGACGTCTCTGTTGTTATTTCCATCTCATTTCCATCTGCTTCTGGGTCTTTTGGTTTTGTGTGAGACAATCGGTGGTGAACCTGTTTGCCGGGGGGCACTGTTATATAAATAAACATTAGAAAAGCTGCTGTATAAAATAAAAACTTGTGATGACGTAATCCCGCCGATTCACGGCTCTATTAAGTGCTTACACAACACCAGCAGCCCACTCCACTCCAAACTTCCCCTTTACACTTCAGGACCCCTAACGCTGACTAAACCGCTCTTTTATACAAAGTGGGTCTTATGTAACTGCCGCAGCGCCGCTGAGGACTGAAATGCGGCTCGGTCACAAACAGCGGCTGAAAGCTTGTTCTCAGCGACGCTGATTGAAAGTGACCCTTCAGCTGACTCACAGGGCCACTTAGGAGGGAAAAGAGCCCTTCAGATACACTTAGACTTACGCATAACGGCTCTTTCATACTGTGTTTGATGCATTTTCAAAAGCTACATACAAAAAAAAAAAAACACTAATTCCCCAAATCTGCCAGCAGGATCTTTCATGTGGCTTCGAAATCAAATTGAACTGAAGCAGACCACAAATTAAATTATCAAAGAAGACCGAAAACTGAGACGCTTGAAGTAAAAATGACTACAATCTGGGACTTTTCTTCATCCTTTCTTTGATGCTGATAATAATAATAATAATAACAATAAAACGCTGTATACTTAAGCTGTCTTTGAACAGAAACACTTAAATGCAGCAAGCCATAGCTATTAGATCCATCTATTTACTCATTCTGACTGATATCATCCATTACATCTTGTAGTAGAAAGACAGCTTTATTAATTTCCAAATCATTTTAATCAGGATAATTTAATACTAGAGGGGAAAAGTAAAGAAATGAGGTACACGTTAAATAGGTTTTCTGGTAGAGAGGTTAGATATTATTATTTAGTGTCTAATTGTCTCACAGGCTCGTGTTTGGGATAATGCAAAACACTGAAACTCAATTGTACCTTGTGGTTCTCCAAAGGATCCTTCCTGGCGAATGTTTGGATGAACTCCTCGGGACCGATAAAACTCAGTCTGTCCTGAAGGCGGAGAACAGGGACAGGAAACAATCAGGACAATAATAACAGCAATACATGAGAGGGAGATGAATAACAGAAACATTACGAGAACAAGAAAAGGGAGATGCTTGAGAACAAAAAAAAGAGATGACAACATAACTGGAGATGGTGATGGAAACAAAGGAGAGCTATGACTTTATGAAGGGTCATCACAAATAACAAAAAAGTTACACATAAATTAAAAAAAACTACAAAAATATGCTGACTGTCGGAATTAACCGCACATGACTGAAAGCATCTTAGCCTCATATAAAATGATAATATTAATAAACTTTCTATTTTAAAAAAGACCACAGAAAGGGGTTTATGGGAAAACAATAAAACCAAGAAATAACAATCGTAAAACAAAACTGTAATAAGTCAACACATGAGCAGGACACAGACAGAAAAGAAGACAACTTAACACTTGAACATTTTCATTAAGCCTATAAACGTGTTCTTAAACGCTGCCTTTACACCACCAACGTAATAAATTCACTAGATTGAGATGAATAAAAAAAAGGCCTGTAAAGTAGTAACCGCATGTCAAGATATAAAAGACATGTGAGAACATCAGAGAGACACGACTGCACATTTGCCTCCTAATGGTTACACAGGAGACGTCGCTCCAAATAAGAGTCCCGGATCCCTTCTTACCAGTTCGATGTGCGTGAGCTGCTGGGCGAGGACGAAGGGGTCGTCACACACGCTCATCACGTCGCCGCGCTGACCCGAGGCCTGTTTGCTTTTCAGGGAGGCGGGCCGCTCCGTCGCCACGGCGTTGAGCGCCGACACGGCCTCCTCGTATTGGCCGAGGGCAGACAGCCGTTTGATCAGCCGCTGGGTCATCTGCTGCATGGCTCGCCAGGAGTACTGGAAGCACAACGCGGATCATTAGACATCAATCGATCCAGCGTATTCATACGGCACATTTCATACAACAGCCAGATATACTTGTCGTGGAAAAAAATTGTAGTTTTCTACATCGATACTCAAACCGGGAAATTTTCCACGGCCGATACTAGCTGACATAAAAGAACAATTAGCCGCACTAGATTTAGCACTGACCTCGTCTCCTCGAGCCACGTGGTGCGTCATGTCCTTGAGGCAGCGCATCATCCTCTCGTCCCTGAAGTCGTACGGAAACGTCTCCGTCCACTCGGTCAGCAGCTGCACCAGCTTGGGCGCCACCTCACGGAAACGGATCTAAAAAAAAAACAAACATCCCACAGCATTTATGAATATAATCTGTCTTTCTGACACAATATGCTGCTGTTAGTTGTTCGTTTGTTTACTTCATTGTTCCCATTAAAGGTGTTTCCTTTCATTTTTATTCCTCTTGTGTCAATTTGAGCCCTCTCTGTCTGTCGGGAAATTTCTTTTGCTTATGAAATAGTCGATAAATATTCTCTCCTAGCAATGAATTACAGAGGTTTGTGTCTGTGGGTGAGAGTGTGTGGTGATGTTGTGGTGGGTGTGAGTTTGTGTGGAGGAGAGAGAGTGAAGTGAAGACAAATTATAGCTGTGTGTATGTACGTGAGTGAGTGTGTGTGTGTGTGTGCGTGTGTGTAATCCGCCCACCTTGTCCAGCAGGGCGTCTCCGGACCGCTGCTGCTCCACACACAGGTGACAAACCCTCGTCATGAGCTCGTACGGGTGCAGGAAGAGGCGTGAGCTCAGCAGGAAGGTGAACACATACGACCTCTGATGATGAGGAAACACAACAACGGGTTGGAACACACACGCACGCACACGCAGGACAGCTGACATCTTTCAACACAGCTAGTCTTGTTTACAACCACTAAAACCACTTTACTGGCACTTACGTCGGGGTAGTAGTCGACTGTGGGAACCAGGTGCTGGATCAGGGCCTCGAGGGATGCTGAGACCAAACTGTTGTCGTGGTAACACATCTCCCCGTAGCTAGCGGTGACGCCGTGTCCGTACCGCCGTCCTTTCGCCGCGACGGAGTTGTTGCGAGAGGACTGCTCGCTGCTGCCGCCGCTGCTGCTGCTGTTGGTGGTGGTGTTGGTGGTGGTGTGGCGGTACGCCCGTCCGGGACAGGAGGTGCTGTGCTGCCGGGGGCTGTGGGGCTGCGGCGAGGAGTACGGGTTCTCTGAAACGGCGCCGCTGCTGTTGTAGTGGTGCTCCCTGGCGGTCGAGGAGGAGACGGAGGAGCTGCGGTACGAGGTGTGAGGCTGCGGCGTGTCGTAGGGGTTCTCTGCGGAGGAGTAGGCGCCATTGCAGACGTTCTCCTTCGTGGGCGTTGGGGCAGCGCCGTTGTGGTACGGGCTGTGGGGCTGAGGGTGGTTGTTGTTGGTGTTGCCGTACGGAGCGCAAGAGCTGAACTTTCCAGCGTACGGCGTTGTGGGAGGCATGGTGACCTGTAGAAAAGACACAAGGTGGAGGTCAAATCAGGGAGTATAGCATATGATACATATCATATGCTATACTCTGAGAACCACTGACCTAATACACCCAGAGGAATTAAAGAGGTAACAACTGTCTAAAACAGTGTAGACAATCTATTCAATTCATACTAATTAAAAAAATCAGCAAATCTACACATTGAAAAAGCTGTAACCGGCACATAATAACGAATTATTTTGTTGAATGATCTTCTGTCGAATGGCTAAGCAATCATTTCACTAATAGTTTCAGCAGTGGCATTAATTATGGTACTACATGCTTTATGGTTATAAATGATACTTTCTCTCTTCATTATGACATCAAACACCAATATTCACTGCTGTTGCACTGACTAGCTTCCAGTTAACATTAGAAATCGCTCTACTACTATCTGAATCACAAACCACGACTACAAATGTCTCCTGTAGTTTTGCTGCTATTGCACCGTGACACAGCCTCCCTCGCTCCCTTGGAATGTGGCTGGTGTTTGAGCTGAGTCCACATGTTGTGAAAATATCTTGTTTGAGCAACTTGATCACACAAAGCGGAGACTTAGAAGCGTCTGTGAACGTAATTGCACTTAATCACATAATTTTACCCCTCCTCTGTTTACCGTTTTGGCTTTGAATTTTGAAAGATACCTCCTTGTGAAATTCACTTTCCTGAAAAGCTATTTGAAGGTAAAGTCTATTTTACAAATAGGTTTTTTAAAGCCTACTTTTGCACTGTTCTGCTTTATTGTATGTGGTATTTTGTATTTTTCAGGGCGGCATAAGGGGTTGGGGGAAATAGGCCAACAGATGGATGATCTCAAGACAGCAATGATTTTTTTTTTTTTGCCTTAATGGTGTAGATAATTGGATTTGAGGTTGGTAAGCTGATCCCAGATCACCACCAAGGCGTGCTTTAACTCTGGAGCCATCTTTATCCCGCTACTGTTGTCTGTCTAGGAACCACATGTCAGCGTAAAACGAAGCCGTACACACATGCACGCACGCCGTGCCAGAAAACACAACCCTGCAGGAATCCAGCCGACTTTTGTTTGTCCATCGCAGCGCCGACAGAGGAGTGTCTGCCCGAGCCAACATCTTACACACACATACCCATGTCCACCATGGCGCCAAGCCCCATGCCGGTGTAATCCAAAAACACACACACACACATGTCACACATAAACAAATGATGGCTTGAGCGACGCACACACACACACACACACACACACACACACACACACTCCCGTGTACCACAGCGCCTGGCGTCCTGCCAGTGTCAGCCAGTCCAGTGCCAGCCCGTCTTCTGAACTCTGTGATCTCTGCCTGCTGTTTTCCTTCTAACTCGGTTAAAAGATTAGACTGGCTTTACCTTCCTAAAGTTACAATATAATATAATCTGGAAAAGCTCCGGAGGTCAAGTTGAGATAAGGCATCTACCGAGTAATATTTACACCAGTTAGGACGCCGTTTATTTAGCCTCCAAGCCTCTGTTTTGCATTGAAAGGTGACCTCACGCAAAAAATGGGAAACGCATCTAAAAACTGTTTTTCCAGACTGACTTCCTGAAAAGTTGCCCCTTTGGATAGTTTGCGGCTTTCCATGTTGCAGCACCGACATTTTACTCTCTCCAAATCATAGGTTGGGCTCTCCATGGACGCCTTAATGATGGTGTTTGGGAGCGTAATTTCATATTGAAAGCATTGTTTAAAAATCTCTTATTTGTAAACTTTGAAAAAGTGCAGCCTTACAAAAGGGATTTCATGTGTGTCGTAAAGAGCAGAAATGTTAACTTTCTGTTCGAACACTATCCCAACAAAAACCAAAAAGGATACAGTTTCATGCTCCTGTGCTGAAGTTCTTAAAATACTAAGCATTGCACGCTTTATAGTGCATTTTCCCTGCCACTGGCATCCGTTTCATATTGTGACAACAAAACAATATCTCCTGTTTGACAAATGGCCCCCGACTGCAGCGTCTGGTGCCTGAAGTGCTATAACCCGGTTCATCAAAAGGTTCAAACTAATTGAACGTTTGATGGAGCTGCAGGCAAATATCATCTGCTAATGGATTTAACACCAGGCTGCTTCAAAGACACAACCTCATATGAAGGTTTCAGTGAATTTGACACTTTTGTGAATGCTGCCTATTAATAGTTTTAGTGTCTTTTTTTCTACCATGCATGAAAGGAATGAATTGTTTAAGGTGCATTTGCTTTGCAGCTGGACGGGCTTCCTTTTTGGATCCCTGCAGAGACACCGAAGCATTGACGGCTTGAGACCAACTTCACTCCAGTTGGTTCCAGAAAACAACCAAAAATATTTCAACCTTAGGAAGACCATTTTTTTTCTAACTCACACAATGTGGTTTAAAAAAAAAAGGTACAGCCAGCAATGCTGGGACCAGTTATAACAGGAGGGGGGAGAATGAGGGGGGGGGGGGGAGTCTTCAACAATAGAGGTATTATCTATCCTGTCATTAACGACCGCACAAAGACCCCCGGGAAGAGATCACAGCACATCAGACACACACAGCAGCTTTCACACACACACACACACACACACACACACACACACACACACTCGGCTGGCCACCGTCAGGACGCATGACGCCCCGTCTCTGCACGGAATAGAAGCTGGGATCATCTTCACATCACCAATACGAAGCAGACTTTGTTATTCTTCTGTAAGGTGTGAACTCTTATTACACCTTTACAGACATCATCTATACTGTGAGGTCATGCGCCATAATTATATATTGCCAAGTGCAATAAAAACGGTACAGGGAGCTATCTTGGTGACTTCGGTAAAGGAGCCTATCGAAACTCACGTATTGACATAAGCCGATATAACGTCACGTGCGCTCAAGGGCCTCAAGCAGCTCTAACTTGGTGTACTGAGGGAATACACACAAAATAGATTATGAAGCATAACAGTTGTAATCATGCGTCACGGTGTGTAAGCACCCTGCGGCTATCTTAGTCCGTCTAAATTGTCCTGACTCAACTGACCCCAGAGTGAATGTGACCTAATAATAGCCAGCGCTGAAACCGGCTGAAACCCCCCCCCCCTGAAGCTTAACCACAACAGGAGCTGAAAGGAACAAGAGAAGATTTGTTTGCAAAGACTTTTTTTTTTTGTTTTTTGTGCCGTCTAATCACATTGGAGGTCTTTAAGCGGGGCCAGGAGCCAAGAAAACACATTCAACAAAGTTCAGCACGTAGGTGAAAACCGCGGTGTGGACACATGGCGTGAGAGGAAAAAGGCACCTGATAAGAAGACCTGTAAAGCAGTTTATCAGAGCGGTAAAAGGTCGATGCATTGCTATCTTTTGTTCTACTTTGCACCGTATGTACTTCAACACGAATAAGTTACGGCAGGTTACAGGCGTCTTCGTCTGGGGGGAAACCCTTCACAGTCAGCCTTAAATCGTGACAATAAATGAGGTTAAAGTCCAGGCTGAGCTCATAGCACTTCCTCGTGGTTTTGTCAAATCTGCACACTGGACAAGTTTGCCACATAACAAACAATCAGCCCTTTAAAACAGCACTACGCAGAAGTCCTGTACAGTAAGATGGGGCCATGTAACCTGCACTAAAGCATGTATACACCAAAAGAAAAGCCAAGCAAGTCCATCTCTCTCTGGAGAGGGGGCTGTGCGCCCTGCTGTTTCGAGGATTTCACTGTCAAACTGTAATTTATTACTTCCTGGAGGAGGAGAAGTGGCTATACTTGACTTAGGAATGCCATTTAGGCCACATAGGATGAATCCTTGATGCCTCAATTAGCAGTCTTATCTTCATTTTGTGAGGGTGTACCTTAAGAGCGGCCTACTGAAACTTTTAAATACAATCAGACCTGACTAGCTCACCACATCTTGTTGGTAACTTTGAATTATGCGAATACATATGATAGATAGTAATTAGCTAGTGTATAAATTGTTACTACTTGATGCACTTGTCTGTCTCTTCGTCTGTATGTAAGAACATACGACTTAACTGCTGAATACAAGCATCATTCAAGATGTCATTTTCTGCTTGTTGGCTGTTCCAAGCATAAGAACCTGGAGCTGCCTTTCTATACCCATAATCCTTTGTGTTTTGGGGTTGTTTCCCCTTCACTTTGTAAGACGTATGAATGAAGATTCAAACAATCTGCACCACCAGTTCTCATGTTTGAGGTCTGAGACTCAAACTTTCGGGCGACCACCAGAGTTTAGGTGTCGTCATCACCGGACCAAACGAGACAGAAGTAGAGTAAGGCGTAGGAGGGGGGGGGAACAAATGTAATCTCATGGGTCAGGTGAGGCCTCCAGCCTCTGTGAAAACACTAGACGCTGGGACCCGCTGACCACTTCAAAAACCAGCACCTGCAACTACATCTGATAGACGGGCAAACAGAACCGGATACAGACCCCAGCGCTCAGATTGGCTGGAGAGATAAGGGGAATACAATTCACCCACTGCTGGTCTTGGTTTTTTTAATCTTTTATTCCCACACACACTGCATTCAAGCACGCATTCCCTTGTGTGTAGGCTCCACACACACACACACCCCCACAGGGTTAGAAGTGCATGGAGGCACACAAGAACACACATGCACCTGTCCCTTGCATGTTCTGGTAGGCTAGTACAGTATTAACCTAGTGTCAGAAAGGATAAAGACCCATTATCTCCTCTGCTGCTGGGATAGAATAAACCTATAAGCTGGTGTAAGGGGTTCTCCTTCACACAGATACACATTTACTGCCTATAAACCGACAGAGCTCACACACCACTGCCTCACAACACAACACACGCATTTCATAATGAGATCAGAGTTGTAAAACGTTAAATGAGCAGTTTTCAGATCAGTTAAAGTCCAAAAATGTCGCTTGTGTTGGTCAGACTGCCTTTGTGTTAATCATCAAATAAGGTAAACCATTAAATTTGAGGTTTATTCAAGCAGCCTGTCTCGCTCATTTCAGCAAGTTAAGGGACCACTGGTTTATATATGTGTGTGGAGGGAATAAGGCTGTTTAAAGTCTGTTTGGCCAGAAGAACACACGCTTTCTCTCCTTCTTTTTATTCTTTTCCCTACAGACACACACACACACACACACACACACACACACACACACACAATCTGTTAGTCTCTCTCACAACACACACACACACACACACACACACACATACACACCATTCCTGGTCTACATTATGGGTTTCTAACTGAGTCATAACACAGTAAAAGTAAAAGCTGACTGTGAAAATGCCATGCTGTGTAACCACAGTCCCATCACAGGTGCTGGTGAGTAACGTTTGTGTGCGAGTCTGACAGCCAGCCTAATTATAAACTCACATGGGCGGTAAACAATAACAACAACAACAAACGTAGCTAGGAGGAAGAGAATAGAATCAATTGAGGGACATAAATTGGGATTAAATTGGATTTTTAAACACCACAAGGCTGAATGAAGGCTTTTGAGGTGACATGATTTTTTTTTATTTTGCTGATAAAAGTTTCATTTCAGAAAATGTTGTTTGTTATAAGCCACGAGATAAACCTTAATAAGGATATACAGCATCATGGGCAACTTAGTGACGTTAATACATGAATGCAATGAAACAAAACTTTGTCAATAAATAAATAAATAATAAAAGATTGCGATTCTAAACTTTATTTCTATAAAGGTAAATATGGTCTCACCATCAGGTATTGCATACCAGAACTGTATCTAGTAAAAACAATGATGTCACTCTGAGCAAGATGAAAGTTAATTGTCTCCATGAATAACCCCATCATCCACACTCACCGCTGATGTGATGCAGCTCAATGTCCGACCGCAATATCTTTCATTGGCAGAAACAGTTGCAAAAGCGAAGAACCGAAACTATCCAAACTGTGAGGAATCTCCGCCGTCCGTTACGCGCCCGGGATAAAGCGGCACGGATAGAGTCTTTCAGCAGAATGTCTGCACCGTGCTCTCCTCCATTGTGTCCACCGCTTCTTGATATTTGACTCAATTTGAACCAGGCAGCGCCGTAATGATCCTCACAGCGAGGCGTATTCAAATGACTTCCATTGAGCCGGGAAAACCGGCCAATCGCTGCGCGGAGGCGGGCGCCTCTGGGGGCCACGCGGGCCAATCGCGGGGGAGGAGACGAAAAATCGAAATCTCCGGAGAATCTGATTGGCTGGCCTCCCGTCTGTCGAATTCCTTTCTTTTCAACCGCAGCAGCGAATGTTTTTGTTGGAGAGCTGAAATATGGAAGGTGTAAGGTTTCCTCCCGGAATGCGTGCATGTGTGTGTGGTGGTAAGATGGTCTCAGTAGCTTAAAAATCAAGGGTTTATAAAAGTATAAGCTTCCTGTTTTGTTTTGTGTTTATCACATTTAATCTTGTTAAATAAGGGCATTAAGCACTGCCAGTAAAAGTTGCTTCAGGTATACAACACACATATATGTATAACATCCATCTAAGAAGACAATTATTCAGCTATTCTATATTTGCAATTATATTGTAAGAAGATGACAGCCATGTCAAACAGTGAGCAAGAATAGACAAAAGCATATATATTGTAGCGTTGTTTTTGTGCATAGAGTTAATTTGCTACAAATCGTTACTGCTGAACATTGGAGTATTTGTCCTTCCTTACTTAGGTTGCCATTCATTTCTGCACTATGAAATCAGATGGCAGTGGGCGGATGCCATCTTGAAATCAGCTCCAGTATAGGTAACTCATCACAGGGGAAATTTTGTTGGCTTAAAGCTGCATTCATTCATGTATTTAATTGGTCATTTAGAGGCAGCAGAACAAACTGAACACACATCTGACTCACTGTTGTCTCATAAAGTTGTTACAGCGAAGATGTTAGTAAAGTGGTTACACATCCAGCAGACAAGGAGAAAAAAACGGTACTCATTTTGAGTCTCTGGTCACCTGACAAATATATTTATAAGATATTTGTTTTTGCTTTTTTGGTTTCCACCAACTCCTGAGAAAAGTACTTAGCTGCCAAATGCTTCTCTGTGTTCACCAGCCAGTCGCTAACTTGTTATCTGTCATCCGACTCTAGGCAAGTTGCATTCAGTCAGTGGGCTTATCAGACATTTTGGGATGAAAACTGCTGTCTGTTGTTGTCATAGAGAAGAATAATGGTGAAGAGAACGGGCCAGAGAACCAAAATAATCAGCTGAAAACCACGACATCGCTCCATAAAACCGAGGAGAACTGCAGAGTTGGATGATAATTCCATGTGGGATCGTGGCTCCTTTCATGTCACGCAGGTTGTTTAAATGATTGGTAATATAAAATATCTTGGTTGGTGCAGCTTTAATCTTTTTTTGTTGCGTTATCATGTGGTAATGCGGTAGAAAGCAGGATTAATCAAGTGTTGTTAGTTGCAACTCCAACATCAAAGATCAGTTCACGTATCACATAACATACCAGGCCACATACTTGTACCACTTTTACATACAGGTGTTTGTGTGTGAAGGGTGATGAACACACTCTCAATCTGCATTGGCTCATTCACACCAGACTGAGCTCACAGGTAATTACACCTGGTCACGGCCGTTCTCGAAAGACCTGGATCTGTGACTGTTTATTGGTAAACCATTAAATTGTACCTTCGTGTAAATCTATAATCACAGTTATTGACTCTCGGCTGTAGTGTGTATACTATTCAACACAGCGGGCTGCGAGCGCAAAGCGTTGATTTACGGGATGTTTCTTTATTTACAAGGAATGCATTGTTTGCATGTTGTTGCATTAACGTCTTTTTTTCAAGGATTAAGAAAGAAAGAAAAACAGCTTTGACAACAGTCATTTTCTTGATACCCCGATGGGGATTTGAAAGGATTTAACAACCCCGCAATGTGGAAGAAATGACTCCACTCCACCCATAACACAAAGTTATCCTTACATTGCAGTGAAAACAAGAAGATCATCTCGGTTTTCATCTAACAACAGGAATATATGTACAGTCCTGTCCTGTTTACGTATACACTCATGCACTCCTGGGTCTTTTGAAACAGGTTCAGATTCATTTTTACTTTGGCAGAGTTTAAAAACACACCTCATCTCTCTCTCTAAATGTTTAGAATATACTCTAAATATATATGCTATATGCTCCCTTCAGCAGTCTAATTTCCTCTGAAATATGGTAATTAAAGCAAGGTGGGTGCGCACAATACCCGCCCGCTCAACTGCCACTGCACCGCCACCATCCACCTCAGCAGGAGTCCAATCCTTTTCATTGCATAAACACGAAATTACATAAAACACAGCATTAGATTTACAGCGCGGCCGGGCCCTGACGTTGTGGGCGGCGCTCAGCGCTGACGCCTCTTACATTCTGACACATCACTGTTTGAGGCAAGAATAGCTGATCTCTGAGTCTTTCAGGCTGCAGGGTTTTTCTCATTTCAATAACCCGACTCCTACACCAGGCACCGGAGCGCACGGCTTCCGGCTGCGTAGTTTGCCCGTGCAAGCGCACGGTGCACTAACTTCCGGCGATGCTTGACCTCGGCGACGCTCGGTGAGGGCCCTCGTGAGGGCCCTCGTGAGGTTTGGCCTTTCGATCGGCTTGCCTGACGCCCACGACTGCCAGAGAGCTGTTGAGGAAGACTTAGTGTCAGAGTGGCAGAGCAAGGAAGTCAATGGAAATAAGATTAACCTCAACTGAAAGTCAACACCACCACCATTACAAAAAAAGATTTGCTCTATGAATGTCCTCGGCAGTTACTTAAGACCTTTAGGAAGCATTTATGACTGAATGAGTCACATCACATTTTTTTATTCTTGAAAATTCACTGTCTTTTCTTTGGACTTTAATGACTTAATTGCAGAGGTACGGTAATGTGATGTAATAATGGAGACACGGTAGGGGGAACATCCAGCAGGATTCAAACACAGGCTTCAATGAAAAGGCGGTTTAATTGAGTTTAGGTTTCTGCTTCTTGTACGCCCACCGTGTCCAGCTAGAAGACTGTTAGTGAAGAGAAGATCAGGAAAAAGTAATCTGCATTCCTGCGTAAATGCACAGAGCTGATGCACAGGCGTTGAGCATGAAGGCCACTTTGTTTAAGTTGTTCTGTATTTACCGGAGAACCACTCATCATCTCGCCTCCGTTGTTTCACAAAGACTCAGACAAGATAATGCAACAGATGTTTCTGATTTTCCCATTATTTATCAAAACTACAGACACTGAAAGCTTCATGAGGAGAAACAATGAAAGTAGGAGTCTTGTCATGGATTCTTAGTCGCCATGCTAACATACTCTATCAGGCAAAGGTTTCCTTGTGAAATGATATGCAATGCAATGCTGTAAATACCCTAACATTTGGAGATAAGTAAGGAACAGGCATGCTTTAAATGGGAAATGTTTGTGAGGTTTTCTTTATCATATTTGAGATGCACCTGTGCCTTGTCTTTTCTTCATATACAGGTTTAAGTGGTTAACTTTTCCAAGGTGCGGGTCTTATATTAAACAGCATCATCTGACAATAACTTCAGTGTGACACTCAACAGTCGCCTTAGAAGGCACTGAGCAAAAAGCACCAATTGTGTGTTTGTGTTTGGGGTTACCAGCTTATTAGCTAAACCTGTACTATCCAATTCAACCTGCAATACACTAGTACACTACCTTATCATATTAAATTGGATGTAAATAATGTTTTTGTATTAACAATGGATTGCAATGGAATTCTTTTGCTTTTCTGTCCTGCTACTTTACTGCTTTGGTTCACTCTCGCCGCTCTAATAGTGTCAATTTTGGGCGCAGCAGGCAAGCAGTTAGTAGCAGAAAAAAAACCTATAAAAGCTCAGCGTGAACGCTACCTGCTCCTCCAGATAAGTAGCTACTAGCTAAAGGAACATTTAACAGCAAAAGAGCCAGATACATCCCTCAGGAGTCGGTAGAGACCAAAGGAAGAGCTAAAAGGAGAGGGAATATTGGACTTAAATTGATCAGGTAGCAAGAAACATGACTCCACATCATCCTAATGTCGATGTGTAAATAAACAGATCATTGCTGACACGTTTGACATATCAATTTAAAAGTGTAGTGGTACTTTCTGCTGTACACAAGTGGCCAATAAATCAATTATTGCAGGTTTAACCTTTGGTTCAGATGGTGTCAGAGATGATTCAACAAAAATGTGGGTTTATAGACATATTCTTTCACCTACATTTTAGATTATTTACATTGAGTACATTACTAATAGTTCAACCAAAATGCCCCAAATCATTGTTCAAAAGCTTCTGACTGGCAGCGTGTTTTTGGATTTCCAGGAAACAGCGACACAAAACAAATGATGTCAGCGGCCACCAGCAGCAGACACAGACGTATGTGCTGTAGTGCATGTAGGTGGGACTATACACAGTGACAGCTGGGTGAGATCATTATGGT